TTGTTTGTTTACTCATAAAAATTACGATTTCCTCGACTGTGATTGGTTTAAAAATCCTATTTTCCACTAATTCACTTGCCAAGTTGTTATCGGACAGTTCCATAAGCCAATCACATTCAAATAGGTAGTTTAAATCAACGAATCATATTCAAACTTGTAGTTTAAATCAACTAATCACAACCGCGGTTTCAATCATCATAGAAACAGTGTGCAGACTCCTTAATTGGGACTTTCTTCAAACTGGAAAATTTTTTATTTTCTCGGGAATTTAAATTTTCATTATTAATTGGTAATAAGACTTCGTGTCGTTTAAATTCTGTCTGTAATCAAACTCGCGCGTGATAAACAAATCGGACTCTCGCTGTGCGGTCGTCCGATTTCGTTATCACAAGTATGATTACAGACCGAATTGGCCTCCACTCACTCCTATTACCATTACCAACTACCGATGCGAGATCCCTAAGAGGTAGAAATTCAAGTTCCCAGCAACCTAACACCCTCATTATGTAAGTTGAATAAATAACGTAAGTACTAAGACTGGGTTTGTTGTAGGAGCCTCTAGTTTATTCAGTGCACACGTTAAGTTGTATTATTGTATAAGGGAATTCAGTTATAAATATATTGATTGTGAACCCAATCTAAGTTTAGGGCGATTTTTGTTACTATGAGTAACTTAATAAACTGAAAGTTATCTTTTCTTTTCACACTGTGAAAATGAGTGACTCCGAAGTAGCCGAGAGTATCTCTGCGAGTGGCTTCGTCCTCAAATTCAAGATCATAGGTCTGTAAGATGATGTAATTTCTGTCTGTTCTTAGGGACTCAGCATTAACAGGGGAAACAAGACTCCCCAGCATGCACTCGTTCCGACAAGCAGAAATCTAGTTGAGCCACTATATCATATTTGAACTACTATATATATAGATATCTGCTTATTGTATTAATATTTTTTTTATTTCGAAGAGAAATATGGAAAAATATCGGACTGCCAGACGTTTAATTATTTTAAGTTTAGTCACTTCATTGCAGGAACGTCAGCGAAACTGACAGTTTGCGTTACAATTCTTATTTGCTGCTTTGCATCGACAACAACCTCGACCACTCTTTCGAGCGCAAGTTCCTCTCCACGGGCAGGAAACTTCAACTGACTCTAATTCGTATTTAACAAGGATGACAAACTTCAATTTAAAAAATTGATGAATAAATGAAAACGTGGTGGATCAACATTTTCACCTTCTTCGAAATGCTCGCAAGGATTTTCGCGTTCCTCATTAGCAACAACCGATCCATAAGCGTTTACTGCCTCGGAATCTACTAAATCAATGGGTTCATCTGATTCCATACCAGATTAAAACGTATAGAATTGTTTCAAACAGAATTATTTTGATAACCTCCTCAAATTCATCGGAGAAAACGCAGAAGGTATCTCGAGACGTGACAAGGTAAAAAATAACTGACCAATCAGAGGCGCTATTTAAACAAAAGCGCTAGTTCAAAACAAAAACAAACGACCGCGTTGCATCAAGGTTGAAGAAGTGGGCCTTTAAAGTTTAAAGGCATTGAAAAATATGTTTGAAAAATATGTATGTGCGAAATGTAATTGAGGTGAGGGTATATTGCGTTGCACCTGTATCGAGGGACAAGGAATCGTTGATGTAAATCACAACACACAGTTAAATTTTCTTCACTCGTATTGGTATTTTAATGCTTTTTGTTTTTGGAAATTCATGGCGTTATCGAATAGCGGTTCATTGCTTCAAATTGATTGTATCCCATGCGAGACGGCCTTCAGAGCAGGTACCTAGAAACGATGGATTGTAGGAAAGTCGATTTTCGATCTAGCGAGACAAAAAATGCAGCTCAAGCCTTTGTCGCCAGTAGGTTAAATAGAATCAACAACATTAACCTACCTCAGAGATGCCCTTAAGAACTGAAGGGATACAGCGAGAACATTCGAAGTATTTTTTGCATTATTATAACCTTTGTTTCATTCAATGCTCCTAATTATCAAAATCACACTGGAATCACGAACACACGATTCGTGCTAACTTGAATTGTCAGAGTATAATCACTGTTACTTACTCTTATTCTCAAGCAACTACGTCCCCACTGGTTCGCCCTGTGAGGAATATCTGCAGGAGTTTAATCTCTCTCAGCCGAGGCATTATATCAAAGCAAACGACTGAAGTGCAAGAGGACGTGAAAGCGCATAAAAGTGAAATTAAAACGATGATGAGTCGTGTCCCTGTAATAATGTCTGTGTCAGTTAGCACAATTTGCGCGAAAGCAAAAAGAAATGTAAGCTAAATCAAGAGCAACTAATGAAAATTATCTTGCCCTTCGGTTAGCAAGGAGTCTCCATTCAAATGATCTATCAGCTCACGGAGGAAACAATGTGTGGACGATGGCAGCTGTGTTTCGGGAGGCGAGTCTCTGACCCAGTGTGAGGAGTATCACAACGAGGTAGCTACAAATACCGAAAATATTCGGCTCACACTTGCAAATATAAACAAGAAATTAGTTTGTCGAAGAAATGTAGAAAACATCAAGTCCGAACTTTCCAACAAAAACTGTTCAAATTTTCGACATACTAGTAAATAACCAAAGGGACAGTCATGAAATCACCGTAACGGACGGAAGAGGAAAGGGGCTGGAAGACAAGTAGGCGATGATACTCCTGTTTTGGGAATGCACATTTCCCTTACAGAAAGAAGGGAAGAAGAAAGTTTGCTCTGAAAGGGAAAAGACATATATCAAACACTTAGACTTTTTTTCTCAAAAATGTTAACAAGACACTTACATAATGGCTGCTCATCAAGATCATGTACTTTTTAACATAAACACATTCCAAGTAGGACACCTTTTAGTTGAAAGAGAAACAAAGGAAACCACTTAATCGAATGATTAAGACAAACAATGAGGTAGCTCCAAGCAGCCTTTGATTATCAAAATTGGTCGTACTTTTATCTTGGCTGAGTCATGGCGTACTTTAAATACACGCTCTTTTATTTAAAAACATTGACATGGGTCAAAGCAAACATTCACATGGGTCAAAGCGCCAAACCAGGATTTTGATTTGAATAAAATTATAGTCTGATCAGCCAAAGAGGTTTGAGGTCAACTCTTGGTTACTTGCTGCATTAGGGCATTGCGTATTCACTATCTTCAGTTTGAATCTGTTGACTTTGCACTAACCATACGTACTGAAAGAAAAGTTTTCATAGAGAGCTTAGCCACAAAAAGATGAGTTTTAACTTCAAGATATCAAATTTTCTATAATTTTCCTCCGACTGATGATCCAAACTGTGTTTGAAGACAAGAGCGTGTTATGTCATGTTTGCGTGCAGTTGTCAGTTTCAAGTGCTAATTCAAAAAGCTCGCGCGAGTTTTGCTGTTGAAACAATCGTCCTTATAGATAAATGGGGAGAATATGTTAGCCGGCAACTGGTCGGTACATGGACAGAACTGAATACAGTTGAGCAATAACATGCAACTCATACAGCGAAAATGATACTGAAAAATTCTCTACCTATCAAACAAATATTTCTTCGTTGATTCATTTGACCCCCTAATGCATCACTTTTACTTCACAGTTTATATGAGTGCGAGCACTGCGCCAAGCGTAGAGTGTGAAAGCAAAAGTGGATTTAAAGGTCGGTCACATAGTTTAGTTCACTTGATTTCCAAGCGCTGTAAACGTCCTTTTTGTGCTAACGTCTTCTCGAGATCGAATGCGGTTTGCCCGCCAAAACTTCTTTCCGTTTGAATTATCAAAATTAATCGGTTACATTAACATTCACTGACATCCAGGTTTCCGCAGAGGACAACGTAGTAATACAAAGATCTTAATAAAGAACTCTTCCTTGGAAAGTCTAAAAAAGGAAATCGACGTTTATTTTCCCTAAAAATAATTAAATATATCTCTACGTTGACTCATCACTGCATCACTGTTTTGTACGTGTACAGGTAGTTGCGTGATTTAGAATTTCGAATTGACAAAGAGTTTCCAAACTTTACTCTTGTTCATCATAAGTTCCTAGATATGATAATAAGCCAATGAGAACCCTAAGCAAACACATAATCAGCATCGAGAGCGGGAAAACGGGAGTGATGAAGTCGCGATCGGCTTTAATTGTCATCTAATTGGTTGAGAGGGTGGCGTATACTTTCTAAGCCAATCGGAGAGCGTGAGAATCCCCCTCTCTCATACTTTGGCGACTAAAACAAAGAAGTGTTAGTTTAAAACTGTGAAATAACCCTAAAAGATGCTCAAGAAGCGTTGCCTGGCAGATTTGAACAACTCGTCTGTTCTGTATCGGAACCGAATATCTGCTTATTAGAACTATTGCATGCTGGGGTCTTGTTTCCCCTGTTATTGCTGACCTCTGCGTAGAGAGTCCCGAAAACAGACAAAAATTACATCATTTCACAGGCCTATAATCTGGATAAAACACGCGCGAAAGCGTTAATAGCTTTAAACAGGATCTGAACAAACAACAGCCTTCTGTCAACTTCACCATAGAACCAAACTTGCCATCCCTTGCAACGTCATTTCAGAAGAACTGGATGTTTTTCCGTGAGGAGAGCGGCTCAAAAGTAGAAAAAACTTTTCTCCTGGTTTTTCAACCTATATATGGGTGGTTTTTTTTTCAGCTGTTATCGATTGCTAAGGTGAGAGCGTGGGCTGTGTATGGCGTTGTGTTACATCGAATGTGAGCGTGACTTACTTCACAGTGTCATATATGAATCAAGATTGAATGTCCACACATTTTTGAAGACAACATTCAGAGAAGTCTTGAAGAATAAATAGATAACTTCCAAATTTGACTACTATCCAGAATAAATAAAACCTTGCAAAGTTCCCGATCATGTTCTTAAACCCTTTACACCCTAACATCAGTATTGATTTTCTCCATACTGTTCTCCGAATATTTTAAATACTGAATACTTTTCTATTGTTGTACACACCCTTCTCTTATATGGATTAGTTGCGTGATAGTGGAATCACTTCCATCTACTAAAGCACGATTGTTATTCGAGCAGACGAGTCAAGGCACAGAAATGGCTTTTAACGCTTTCCATTTAGTCATGATCATGGTGCACATGGTTGTCGTATTTCAGTCAGCAAGTAAGTAGAAGGATAGCCATGGCCAGGTGGCCTGCATTTCAAATGAATTCAAACTTATCTGAGCATTTCTTTTTAACACTTTCAATATGCATGAAACCGAGTGCCGTTTTCACTAGCAATTTGCTTCTGGTATCTGCCCTGCTTTGTTTGATGATTCGTTCTCATACAGGTTGCATATTTCGATCTCAAACAGATTCTCTGAGTTGTTACACATGCACAAGTAAAACGTCGTGGGCAGATTGCAACTCAAAGATGACTAAATTAGAATGTCCATCGGGTTCACCCAACTGTGTCACGGGAACGTTGACCTGTACAAATCTCGATGACAAGGAAACCGTCTTTTACAAGAGATGTGGCGCCCCGGGAGACGATTGTGGCCCGAGAAGGGCCGATTATCCCACCTGTTCATCTTCGTCATCCATAAGTTGGTCGTACTCTTACTCCAGCAACTGCTGTTCAGGAAACAATTGCAACTCGGGGTCATTCCACAGAATCAACAAAGCGAATCTGGGAATGTGTATGGCAATAATCATTTTGGCTCTTCGTCTGATACTTGCCGAGCGTTTCTAAAACAACATTTCTGTTGCTGTATGATCCACTTAAAGAGCAAGAAAATTTTTAATTACCTTGATTCAACTTAATTTGACGTAGTTGGTAAACACTCAACAATATGTATGAATATACTGGTAGAGAGAATTGTTCGAGAAGGAAAGGTGAATGCTACTTTTACTATGTGCCAATTGTAAATTTCAGTATTCTGTATGATTCCATACCATTAGTTCTTTAGACAATAAATAAAAGTGGATATGCACAATTTCACTTGGACCGTGATTTCACCTTTATCAACATGCAATGGGGTCAGCTGAGGTTAGATCACCGGAAACACTCCAACAATCCTCCTTTACACTAATCCTTTGATCCACTTAGAGTGACTAGCATCTAATTTCTCCTCACATTGTCATCCCTGAACCACATATTAATGTCACGAGAGTACAGGAAATGATCACCAACAGAAAAAGCTCTTCATTTTCTTAAGAAATGTATGGAGAACAGTATGGAGAATATGCATACTAAATGACTGTGATTATATAAATAACATATAGTTGAACTACGGACTAGTAAATGAAGATGATAGTGATCTTCACAGTAAGGAACACTACTGCTCAAGCGGTGTTAATTGCTACGGAGATCACTCTCGTCCTCATTAAGAATGTAAAGGGTTAAACCCCACGTTTAGAACACCAAGTTTTCAATAAGCCGTTTTCTCTCCACTTCCCCCTCTCCCTTGAGCAAAACTCCAACATAATACTTGAATTGAAGTTTCAAATAGCGTAGGTTTTCAGCTAGGCTTTTGACGATTTGTGCCAACATAATTTTTGGCATAATTTATAGAAAAACGAGCATAATTTAGCAAACTGAGTACAATTTAGCCAACCGAGAGAACACTTTTAAGCTGTTCTCAAAATAGAGCTCTGCTAACATAATCTGGCTTTTATGACTTTAACAAAATGCAATATTTCGTCTTGAATAGACTTCATTTGACTTGTCCTGTTTATAAAACTGTTGTCACTTTCGGTTCTTGGCTGCCCTCTTGTCGGTGTGATATCGTTTAGTTTTAGGCAACGCAGGATACTGACTTGAGTTCTACGATCTATTAAAATGGCAACGATTGGTCGGAATCAATATTTGGGCCAAGTCAGTGAAGGGGACAAACTTTCCCAGATGCTCAAGGAGTGCCGGTGGTTTAACTGTTGATTCCACGTGGTTTGAGTGCAGACTTGTTGATGGCTGCCATAAGAGACGATGCCAGCGTAAGCAAAGCCGCATGAAATCGCATTCAGTCCGTATTTCTCAGGACCTTCAATGTTGTTTGCTTTTCTCACATTCTAAACAGTGTCAGCAATGACATTGTTATTCCTTACTTCTTATCTGAGTGAGTTGGGCAAAATGTGGATCTGATTATTTTCGCACTGCTACAAAGCGAGCCTTTTGTGACGAGTACTAATTAGAGGTGGACGAAGAGTTTCACAAAAACTCGTTGATGTTCGAAGTGGAGAGTGTACAGACAGCTCCTGGAACAAATCGAAGATTTACGTGGATTCGTCCATGGTATCCTGACAGAGAAAATGTTGCTCACCAGATTTCACGTCAATCGGTCGATTTCCTATTCGATCCAAATCAAGTTGTGAGCCTTAAGCTTTAACTAGCTTCACTAGCTGCAATCTTTGATGTGGGGAGCCATTCGTCAAGGCAATTTATGTTTTAGAGGAAAACAGCTCACTAGTTTTCTCATTGCTTGAGAGATTTCAAGCGGTTTCTGATGCTTGCCAGGCCCGGCTTTCTCAAATGTCTAGGCGGCAGCTGTCGCAATAGCGATTATGGATCCTACAAAAAATATTGAAGAGATGGAACAGTTCTTTAAGTCTTTTACTACTGAGGGAATATAATATATAATTATCATGCTTTTGCACTTCATTTCGTGAGATGGTTGATTATTCATAGGACCAGGGAGTAAGATTTCAGGGGGAGGTGGAGGTTTCGTTCGATTCTCGTATTTCATGTACGTGACATGTTGTCTCGCCTTATTTTGGACATTTATGCCTTGTTATTAACGGTGTTAGATTGTTTGCGAGTGGCTGTAGATGTTTTTGAGGTTGTTGTAGGTGGTTGTTGAAATGTTTGAGGTGGTTGTAGGTGGTTTTAGGTGGTTGTAGGTCGTTTCATGTTTTGGAACTTACGTGCATTTAAATCGATAATGATAATAATAATGATAAGGAATTTAAATAGCGCTAAAAATTTAAACAACATTCAGAAGCGCTTTACATAAGTTAAAGTTCTATACTAATTAAAATTAAAATATTCAAAGGCAATAATTATTAGAACTATTGAAACAAACTAAAAGCTTTCCTAAATAGAAATGTTTTAAGTTGCTTTTTAAAAATGGCGAGGCTACTACTTGTTCTTATAATGCAGGTGTGATATGATCAAATTTCGGAATCTGAAAAATCATTCTAGCGGCAGCATTCTGAACTTTCTGTAAGCGATCGAGTTGATGTTTAGGTAGACCGAAGAGAAGTGCGTTACAGTAATCAAGGTGTGAGGATATAAAGGCGTGGACTAGTGTCTTAGTCGATTGAACAGTAAGGAATTTTCTGATCTGTCTTATGTTGTATGATCCGCGAAAAGCCTTGCTACAAATCTTGCATATATGAACGTTCATTCGCATGTGGGCATCGAACCAGGACCAAAGGTTCCGGACACTTTCTAAAGGTTTAATGAGGGTGTCATCAATAGTAACAGATTCAATTGATATCTTTTCAAGTTGTTGGCGGGTGCCAATAATTAGAAACTCAGTTTTTGCGTCGTTGATCATTAAACGATTAGCAATAAACCAAGAACGAACACCAGCAATGCACATCTCAGTCGCAGATACAGCATTAATTTCGGAATGGATAGAGCAAGGTCGGAAGGAGAGGTAAACCTGGGTGTCGTCAGCATAACCATGGACGGAAGGGAGATGCTGAGAAATAATGTTGAAGAGGCGGGAAACGTAGAGAGGGGGACTCCACAGTTCAGATTAAAGTCATCAGAAGTCTTATCACCAACAAGTATACGTTGTTTGCGACCGGACAGAAATGATTCGCACCATTTTAAAGCAGTCCCGACGACTCCAAAATCCTGTTGCAAGGTATTCAGAAGAATGGAATGTTCAATGGTGTCAAAAGCAGCACTAAGGTCCAAAAGTACGAGAAGTGTCACTGCTTTATTATCCATACTCATTAAGATGTCGTTTTGAACCTTTAATAGAGCAGTTTCTGTCGAGTGATACAGTTTCTTTTTTCCAAATTCGTTTGCTTTTTAGGACTTTTTTTTTCAGTAGGGGTCAGTATGCTTTTCTGGAGGAGCCATCTCAGTCTCATCAAGACAGGTTCCCCACACAAAGAATTAACTACACAATCTTAAATAATAGCTTGATTCTCCTTAGAGAATGAGTCACCCTTGCACACTGATCAATTAGGTTTGAACAATAATTCACACGTATAGATTTAAGAAATGCAGAGTACTGATTACGAACTTTATGGTAATTATTCCAGTCACCAGGGAGGTCAGTTTTCACGGCTCTCTTTTCAAGGCGACGACGTTGACGCTTGAGTTGTTTAATGTCATCATTAAACCATGGGACCTTTGGACGATTAATCAAAGTCCTTGTTTTAAGCAAGGAAAACCTATCCAGCATGTCAGTAAGGGTCTTGTTAAAGCAGTCGGAGAGTGCATCAATGTTGTCCCATTGTACGCTTGCACAAAGCATAGAAGAGGCAGTATCAGCTGAGAACACTCAAGATCAATATTTTTGAGTTTACGAAAAGTCAGTTTTTTTGCACGACAAAGCTGGTCGTGAGATACCAATAGGACACTGAAAAATAAATGATCGGAGATGGGAAAAGTAGTTTTAGGGGAAGCAAGAACAATATCTGAGGAACGAGTAATAATTGAATCTAAGGTATGACCCGATAAATGGGTCGGGCCCGAAACGTGTTGCGAAAGACTGAACGTTTCCAGTAAAGTTTGCAAAGTTTAGAATTGAACGCGGATCAACGAGCGAATTTGTATGAAGTGAGGAGTTCGTCGAAGTAACGTTAGAGGATACATGATTATTTGTGTTCACAGGTGTGATGACGTATAGGTTATTTGAAATGGATCCTTTATGCAAATTATCGCTTCCTCGGCTGGCGCGTGGATAAGAAACCAGGGATTCAATTCTGTGAATATTTCTAGCTTTCCTTTCTCTGACTCGACGGCCAGCGCGTTAGCAAATAAATTGGTTTCTTCTTCAAAGGACCAGGATTTAGCTCAACATCCATTTGGACAGTTAAATCTTTTGGTAAAACTAAGCAGGTCGGACCATGTTTGTACCAAACTGAAATAGGCCGCCTCGGAAACTTTAGTTCTTAGATATTCTTGATAAAAGATGTCTTTGCGTTGAACTTGGTCAATATTGGGTAGCAAAGGCCTTTAGGTTGCCATACCATATAAAATTGTAAGATATAAAACAAGTTCAAAAGCGATATAAAGCAGCAAGCACGAACATAATCGGCTGCCATCTTGATCGGCGCTTACAAAATAGCTAACGAGTGAGTGCTGCGCGCGAACGAGTGAGATGTCGAGTTGAACACGAGAAGAGAAATTTTATGGCAATAATCATTTTGCCTGGTCAATTTGAGGTTAATTTGATCACACTGTGATCAGAAAAGCCATGCTTATTTGATGTAACGTTGAGCAACTACAGTAATCGTCTCAAGAGGGACGCTGCGTTTCAAGAAGTTGCAATGAAATTAAACATGTCAAGTACATAAATCACAAAACTGACCAAAACTACCTTCGTAAGCTCAGCTTGGTGCTGAATTAGCATGCCGGTCATGACCTTTACGTTGTGACTCTTAAAAGAGCCGTTAAAAATAAGAAAAAAATGCAAATGCAGTTAAATTGTATAGTGTGTTAAAACCAGATGTTTGAGTTAACCGTAAGTTTATGTATTAGACATCCCACAATGCCATGCGTGCTCGGTTGCG